ATCAATAGGGGAAAGAAAGCCTTCGATCTAGAACATTACTCGAGTACAGGTTAACATTTCGAGTTTCATTTAAGCGAGGTTCATTTGTCTTTATGCCGGGTTTTATTTGTTTTATTTATATCCCTGTCATAGGCTGTTACGATATTCTATCCTCTATTGTTAAAAAATGACTAATCTTTACGGCTTAAACAGTTGTTTTTCTGATAACTGTGATAAAAAAATAATAATGATAAAAGAAAAAGAAGGAAAAAGACAAGGAAAAAAATCGCATCTTCGACGAGACTCGAACCTAGGATCTTTGTTCCAACATTATGGTTTTACCACTAGGCCACGAGGGCACCCACGCCTTCACTCTGCAAAAAGCTTTCATTTAAATAAAACTGACGTCATCTTCACTGTAAACACTTCCAAAGAGGTTTAAAACATGCAAAATGTCTTCCGCAAAGAAACCTGGAGGAAAGGTAAGTGATAGACTTAACTATCACAACTAAATACTGCAGAGGAAATTCCACAACATTCCCAAATCGCCGTAACAAATAACGGGAGCGGGCATCGCAGGCATTGCCCTCAGCGGTTAGCATCAGTCGTTTTAGTCCATGAGGTCTTCGTTTTAGTCCATGGGGTCTTCGTTTTAGTCCATGGGGTCTTCGTTTTAGTCCATGGGGTCTTCGTTACGTTACGATCGTATCGCCAGACAAGCAAACGCATTTTGATAACCAGCAATGTTAACCGCCTGATCGAATTCAAATCCCTTCCAAAATGACTCATAAAGACACATGTACAGGAACAAAGGTAAATACATATTATTATTTTATTAGCTAATACAGCGTAAATACATCTAATTTTTCTATTAGCTAATACAGCGTTCGGGTGCCCTGTGCTTGTAGTCGCCTCGAAGCCGGTTAAGTTACGATGATTTATAGTTCGTTACAAAGGTACTGTAACCTTTGCGGACTGTCTAGACACGTAGATTTTGTTTCCACCCCGAAACAAAATGTCTTTGGATCGTTCGATTCACTGGGATAACATTAAGCAGCCCGAAGCAGAACAGATCAGCAAATCGAGGTCAAGCAGTTACACAGAGGTAATTACAGCTACAGCAAGTACTGACAAATCGGTCTAACGCCTCGCTCTACCTCGCACCCGGTTTAATAGTACCATCATTCATTCTCAGGGATTCCCGAGATTTCCAGAAAATTTTTAGCCTGTTTCTATTCCAATATAACCCCGAAAATTCTCAGGAATTTTGGGGCAAATAAACGCTAACTAATCTTCCGGAAATTCCGGCGAATGATACCCGGGAATTCTCGGGAAATCCCAAGATTTTTTTGAGACATTTCGCACGGGTGAAAACCGTGGAGTGATTTCTTTTGTTACTGTCCCGAGCACAGGATTAAGTTATTAACTCCAGTTGTGCTTGAAATCATTAGCGGAAAAATCTAGAACAACGACTGGCATGATTGGATTTTACTAGTTTTCTAGTTTTAGTGCAAACACATCGCTATGTGATCTTTAATGCAAGCTCCTGGCAATATCTGTGATGTGACCTCCGATCCCCCTATCCCCACCCCCAACATATCCCTCTAGCCCGCGATAAATACTAACTGCAGCCTGGATTAGCCCATATATACTAGTAGCATTTTTTAATTTCGAGCACTAGGTGGTAGTTTATGCTGCACTGTAGTGCGCCAGAAGTGGACGCATTCATTCAATTGTGTAGTTCTAGAAAATATTCTTACCCCCTCCCCACGGAGGGCAACGGAACTTCACAGGGGAGGGGGGGAGGTCCAAAAGGAGACAATTTCCGATTGATTTGAAAGCCATCAGTTATTTTACTGTTAATCGGTGTTTCAAAGCAAAAATTATCGTTGTCATCGATGATCTTCTATTCGCGGTCGGCTGAGTGCTTTTGTCACGGGTTGCACGATAGTTTATGTAATACGATTGTCGTCGACACATGAACAAACTTCCGGTTAGCCATATGTTGCTTAGTTATACAATAGGCAACTTCCGAGTTCCCCCGGGCCTCCGTTTGAGAACGAGGTTAAGTGCTCAGCCTTTGATATGGAAATGATTTTTCATTCTCATGCAAATAAAACTCATTTCCACAAGAAAGGTTGTGCACTTGGCCTCATTCTGAAAGCGATGGTTTTTGGAACTCGGAAGTGGCCTATTAGATTGTGGTATTCAGTGTAACGTGGTGACCCCGTCATGTTTTAATAAGCCTTCTTCTAACGTATTGTTAACTGAAAGGAATCGACGTTATTGAAGTTCATTGGTTCGAGAGATGGCATCACTTGTGTCAGGAGCTTGTGTTGTGTACGGCCGTACCGCATCCATGGTTCTCAGACTTACCGTTAAAAATTAACTATAAAGAAAGACTTCTACAAGGCAAAATTGAGATTATTTGACTCTGTATCAACATAAATAAAAAGATTTTTTTCTCTGTTTATCGCAGAAACAATTATGTTTTGCATAAAATTATAGTGCAACGGCATTTTTGACAGAAATATTTTTTCCGGGGGCTACCCAACCAAGTCGGAAAATTGCGGAAATTCTAGGGGGGTAGGGCGATTACAAGTACCCCCTGGAACGGAAACTTCAGGGGAGTGGGGGTCTAAAACAAAAGTGTCTTCCGTGAAGGGGGTTTGGATATTTTTTGGAACAACACATTGAACCGGAATGATTATTATTTTTTAAAGGTTTTTTATGCGTCTTGCAAAACTTCTTCTTGTTAAAAGCTGCTATGATTATTTCTCGGACACATATAAAACTTTGGCTTTTTTTTAACGATGGTATATAATTCGGGTCTTTCGCACTTTTTTTTGCAATAACCAAACGTAAAAAAAGTAAAATTATATTCCGCCAAAAGCAGCTAACTGTTTGATAAATGTATAAGTTTCCCTTTCTATGGGTGTTTTGTCGAGACTGCTTGGCTCTTTAGGTGACCGCCTGGCTCAAAGACACACAAAACAATGTAAGCTACTCAAAAACACCTTAAAACAGTTTGCACGTTTTTTTTTACTCAAGTTTCCAAACGGTGATTCTTTCCTTAAGAAGTGGTGAGAATCATTGTTGAAAACCCCGACACTTTTGACAATTCTCCTTAATGAAGTCGGCGTCTTTGGTTTTAGTCACAAAAATAAATCGCTAAATAGCTAAATCGCCCTTGTGAAGCTCAATTAATGTGGAGGTTTTATAACAAGAGTAAAAATGGTCGAAACAGTTTACGACTTATGTCAGTCTTCAGTGTTTACAACCACGTTTACCGCGAAACCTGGTTTAAGTTTTTTCTTCCCCTTAGGCAATTTATCGCTTGATCCCGGAGGAAAAAAGACTCGAATAGTAAGAGTTCTCCTTCGTTAAATACAATATCATTATTGATTATGCAGCTATCAATGTTATGCCCGAGGGGGGGGGGGGG